GCCTCAAGTTGCATCAGGGGAGGTTTAGATTGGCTATTAGGAAAAATTTCTTTACTGAGAGAGTGGTCAGGCATTGGAACAGACTGCCCAGGGAGGTGGTGGAGTCACCATCTCTGGAGGTGTTTAAAAAACGTGTAGATGTGGCACTTCAGGACATGGTTTAGTAGGCATGGTGGTGTTGGGTGGATGGTTGGACTTGATGATCTTAGAGGTCTTCTCCAACCTATGATTCTACCAGTGCTCACTGAGAAGGATCAAGCAGTCACTGGTACTGTAAAGAATCATCATAGAATCACAGAATGATTTGGGTTGGAAGGGACCTTTAAAGGCCATCTAGCCCAACCCCCCTGCAATGAGCAGGGACATCTCCAACTAGACCAGGTTGCTCAGAGCCCCGTCCAACCTGGCCTTGAATGTTTCCAGGGAAGGGGCATATACCCCCTCTCTGGGCAGCCTGTGCCAGTGCCTCACCACCCTCATGGTAAAAAAATTCTGCCTTATATCCAGTTTAAATCTACCCTCCCCTAGTTTCAAATCATTACTCCTTGTCCTGTTCATCAGGCCTTGCTAAAAAAAAACAGCTTCAGCACACTCGGCTCAGTCCAGAACCAACACCTCCAAAGCTCTTTCAGCTGCCACCCTGACAAGTTTGAATGAAATCTGTCCTCTGTCATAGCCCAGACCAGGAAAATCCATGACAATCCCTCAAAAGAAAGAAAAGACGCTGCATGTCAGAGTTCAAGTTTCCTCTGAATCACAAGGAATGTCTGCTTTCCCCTGGCACAGGAGCCTTGCATCCCAGCACCACCCAAAGAGGGCTTTGCATTCGCACTGTGACTTTCTCTAAGGACTCAAAGCAAGTAGACACAAGCAAAGTAGGCTAGAAGAGGAGACGAATTTTCATCTTCCCAGGACACTTGCCATGATGTGGTGTAGCTTGTGCATTTATTCATGCCCCTTCAGATTTGTGCTTTCTCCAGCTGGAATCAATAGAAAAAGCTAAACATGATATAAAGCACATCGGTATTTCCTCATATAAGATGCATTTCACTACTTTCTGGAAAGCGGTAAGCACCCAAAAGCCTGCTATCAAACCAGCCCAAACTGCTGCAGATGTAACCCAGGAAGCCTCTGCCGGCTCCGGACTGGGTCAGGAGCCGCCTGCCCAGGCAGCTGCCGGAGGGACCCAGGCGTGCCTTGCTAACTGCCGGAGGGTGGTCCAGAGGCTGGTAGGGAGCATGGCTGCTGGGCATCCACTTTAGGGACCAGCGCACACTGCCCTGACTGAAGCACAAGGTCTGCCTTCTCCAGGTGAACTAATGCTGCTAAAAAATCAGCAGGATTTGTGTTCAGTTGCTGCCAGAGGACAAAGTCAGGAAGGCAACATGGCCATATGTATCGTCATAAATTAAATGTGCCCATGACCACTCTCACTGAGACCAGCCGGCACGGTGCACCTCACCTTTGTACTATTAAACTCTTTTATCCTCAACATGCGGCAGTTTGTCCAAACCGCCTACTGGTGATCCTCGGCCTGCGCCAGCCTCCGAGCTGTGCCCAGGTCTGGGCGCAGGCGAGCTGGCCTTGCAGCCCTCTCTCCCCTCTGCTCCACGAGGAACCAACCGCCTCTTCAGGCCCCAGCTCTGATGTGGCCCAGCTGCACAACCGTGGCTCAGACCACCAAGGACACTGCCAAGTCATGCGGAAGAGCTGTGTGAAAATCTATAGAAAGACAAAAAATGTAAAACTACAGAGAGAGGAAGAGGATCGTTGAGATGGGGATTGCTGGTAGCTCAGGGTTTCAAGGGAAAACAACATCGTGAAATGGTATAAAATCCAAAAGGAGAAACTGCGAGTCTAGTAGGCAGGGTGAGGGCCAACAGCTGGCTCATCTGCGTAGCAGTGCTGACATCATTGGTGGAAGACAGCAGCAACAACCCAACCGAGGGAGGTGCAGAGGCTGATCCTTCTCCTCTCACTAGTGCCCGCCCGGCCAGGAAAGTCTCTTCAGATGCCTCCTCTGAGGTGGTGAGTACTAATGCTCAGCCTAGTAGCTAGCTAAGTCCCTGCTATCTTTCCTGTGTGTTAGCGAGTAAATAACTGCTTTATACTTTCAATATATTATACATCCTGTTGGCAGAGTGTCTTTGTGCACGGCTAAAAATGCTCAACCACACTCACTCCTATGAGGGACATAACAGCCTGGGCTGAAGCTATGCCTGGAACTTGCCATGAAGGTGCCCCAGTGCTTGGGGACACTCCTTGCAACTGTATCACCCAACCATAAAGACACAGCCTTTGTGTCATCTCAACACACAAAGCAGACTTGGTTTCCCTCTGGACAGTCATTCACGCCTTACGTTAATGACCTGTGCTCAGCTATTACTTGACCTACACACGTTGTAGCAGATGGAGTTTCTTCATTCACAGGGAAAAACTGCTGAAGACACACCAGCATGTCACTGAAACCACCACCTTGCAGCACATGTTTAAGCTTAAGCACACGAGGATCTTTCAATGACAGGAAAAAAAATAATATCCTTGCTGGAATTACGCAGAGTCACATCTCTCTACGGGATCCAGTAGACCAATTCTGAGCTTAGCCCCACAGGTACACCCGGAGCTGCAGCCAGCAAGGCAGGGAGGGTCCCAGTTTACACAGCAGCCATGCCCACCTCGCACTGGGTTTGAGCTGTGACATACTGAGAGGCTGAGCACACAGCTCAGCTGCACCCTTACACTGGCTCAGGGTACAGCTGCCGGAGCCAAGCTGGGCCCTCTGCCACACACTCAGCCCAGGTCATGCCCACTTCGCACGAGAGCTCTGATCTGTTTTGCAGTCAAGACATACCTAGCGTAAGCAGGACCTCAGTTAAACCATGGGACATTTAACAGTCCAGTTCTCATTTTACTCCCCTGAGTTACTCCCAGCAACCCTCTGCAGGATGCTGTTCTCGCGCTCTACCGTTCCCACTCTGCTTGTATACTAATACTGTGCACTTCTTTTATCCTCAAAACAGGTCAGCTCCTCTTCTGCAGTATTAATTTCTATATGTTTTCTCTGAAAGCAGCAACCACAGCCCTGTACTGCAGCTCCCTGATATATATGACCAGAGCATAGGATTAGACGAGCACGACTTCTGTAAGGAAACATCACACATTTCCAGCTTCACAACCCCTGTAATACTTTCCAAACGCTCCCCACCTTGTTAAGGAAAATGAAAGCTTTAAGTTACTGCAAAGGCATCTCAAGGCCTTTTGCTTTCAAATGAGTCTTAGTCACTTTGCAATTCTGTTTTATACTCTGCCAGCCCGCGTGTAATAAAAATCAGGGAGCAATTTCAGTTTCAAGTTTCATTTGCCACATGTGATTCCATTTACTGACTAAATCCCAAACCTCTCTGAGTTCCTTTTGTTCTCTACAGGTTGTTTATTACTCCCCATAGTTTTACACAATCACGGATTTTTAATAAGTTACGTATTTCCATCTTTCCCAAGAATGCTAACAGAGAAGTCAGGGGTTTACTGAATATCTTTCCTAACTGCTACAATCTCTATCATATCAACACACTTATATTAATCTGAAAAAATTAAATAAATCATACCACATGCAAACTTGCCACGTCTACCAGAGTAAACATAGATCCTACCATGGATCCTACTCTACAAGTCTTTTCTGGATGCCTGGTAGCTGACTTCTACTTTCGCTCTGCTCCTCTCTGTGTCCCTCCTCCCACTAACGCCTGGCCGTACT